TCTCAAGGGATATTTGGAGGGATTCTTAATAAAATGAATACGATAGCAGTGGTACCATCATCTCTAAATTTTATAAAGCTTCCTAACTGCCCATTAGATAGAATAGGCAGCACCATTATTTATGTCAAAGCATGATACTTCCTATGGTAGAAAAACCTTCTCACCGCAGAATTACTGTAATCTGCTCCAGAAAGCAAACTAAATTAAAACATCTAAGTAAACATGTCCTTATGGGGAAAGATTATCCACTTTTCTGTAAGATAACAATATGATACTTTTTTTGTGTGATGACACAAAGTCGATAAGCATTCCCATAGATATTTAACAATCTCACGAAAGCCTGTGATGTTTCTAATACCTGTGTACAATGCTACAAATCAATCTGTTTCAACATCATGATGTTTCTTTCTTCCAGAGATAGAAAGGCGGGATCAGGAAGAGCACTATGCGTTAAAGTAATTCAACGAAAACCCAGACCACGGAAAAAGAAATGATGCAATTGAAGATGAGCAGTGCACAAAGTCACTGCAAAACGTGCAAACCAATGAGCAGATTCTACAGCCTTTAGAACATGCTCCTCTCTGGGAATACTCTGGTCTCATCTCACTCCACTTCTTCGCAACAGAGGCACCCCCAGGTGTATGCATCTTTGCCCCTAGTACCAGTTCACATCCATCTGATACCTCAACTCTCTCTCAATTCTCTCTGCTAGAGAGAATCTCTAAGCAGAGTTCAGGCCACTATGGAAGGAACACCTGGGTCATATTCTTCTGCTTCTCAGAAAATCCTCCGTCTGATTCCCTGTTCTACTTCAGCTCGCCATTTGAAGCTAGAAGAGTCAAGAGTTTATCTATTCCTTGCATAAAGAAATTGCATGGCCTAATCCCCCTATTCTATAACCAGATAAACTAAGCATCTCTCTCTCACTTGCTTTTTCAAGCCATCTTTCGACTGGTTATTTACCTTTTATATAGAAATAGACTCTTGGGCACAAATTATAGAACCACCCACACTATATAAGATATTAGCCTCTCCCTTCCTCCTTCCCTCCTTCTACCCTCTCCATCTTCCTCTTTTCCTTGTTCTACCAAAATTCTTGTAAAAGTAACTAAATGTTTGTATTCCAAAATGCAGCTCAGAAAATGTGTGCAATCTTGAAGATTGGTGCTGCTGGAAATACATGGCTTGCAGGCTCAGTGGGGCCCTCGGAGAAGCTCCCCAAACATCCCCCTCCTGGTAAGGTCCCCATTGAAACCTAGCTCAGCAGTTCTTCCTAGTCCACAACAGTTCTCTTCCAGCCTTGCTCTCAATACTTCCTAATAGCATCTTTACTCTCAACACAATCTTGCAGTTTTTGAACGTGACAGCTTGATCTTCCTATCCACATATCCATCCCTTTGACCCTCTAGTTTTAATTTCATTTATTTTTGCATCCCCAAACTGTTCTGATTATATGACCTGCAAATCAATATCTAGATTATTATTTGCTGTTATATTATGTATGTGCTCCTGAAAACTCAGTATTATGGAGATAGAGACTTTGAAATTCAACAGACACTTACTAATTGTGTCATTGGACAAGGTAATTAACCTCTTCAAGCTTCACTTTCTTTAGATGTAAAATATGGTAATGTGTATTTCGCAGAGTGTTAAATGAGATAAGGTTTGCACAATTATTAGCTCAGAACTTATCAATGACTCCAAAAATGGAAATTATTTTATTTTCATTTATTGAATAATCTATGTCAGGCACAATTCTAAAATAATATGAAGGAACGAAGTCTTAGACAAATCCAATTCCTTTCCTTCATGGAGCTGACACTGTTGTAAGAAATTGCATGAAACAAATTAAGAAATTAAGGAAGGATGATTTCTATAACATGAACAAAGAGGTGGAGAAGAAAGGCATGTGCCATATATAATTTGCCTATTTTTTAGTCACCCATCTTCGTCTGAAAAATTAGTCTTCCTAAACTATATCTCTCCTTGGTAGGTGGCAAAGTTATGCAGAGACTTTATTTTGGAATGAATGTCTTTCAGTATTAGTTCATTTGCAGCATGAACATGCTAGTTCTTGCTTCATTTTCCTGAGGGAGATGTTGGCAATGGTCTGCCTAGTGGCTGTTCACACTCACCAGGGTCCCATTCCAGTAAAAACTATAATTTTTTATTAGATTGACATTCCCATAGCTCAGTCCAAATTATTTCACTATACCATATCTATCTATCCATATATATATGTAGATATATATGGTAAATGCATATATGATATATATTGTAAGGACCTATGCAGCCAGAGCAGCCCCACCCCAGTTGAACTGCCATTTTGTTGTAAAACTTAAATTGACCTTGCCCCCCCTCCCAGGGGAACTTACAGCCCAAATGCAAAGGTGGGTCAGGTCAGGTGGAGACATTCAATCAGTGGGGGCGCATACTGTCTCCTAACTACCAAGGTGATGAGCTAGTTTCCATGGCTACTGTGGGGCGAATTGTAATTCAATTGGCCACCTGTATGTGGCCCGGCTGAACCACCTGGCCTTTGCTCTATAAAAGTTAGTCGGTAAGGCAAGGAGGGGTCATTCTCTTTGTAAGAGGTGGCTCCAACCGGTTGGTTTGGTTCTCGATGCTTGGCGCGAAATAGAGCTTTGCTTGACCTTCACTTTGTATCAGTCTCGCTCCTTTGACCATGGACCCATTATTGGGGGACCCAACATTGGGGACCCAACAATATGTATATGGTAAATATATATGTGGCAAAAAAGAAATATATATACATACATACTTAAAGGGCTCCCAATTACCCAATCACTCTCAGCTTAGCTCACAAGATCCTCTGTATTTTTCTCTTCTTTCCAGTCATACCTCCCAGGTGCTTTGTTGAGGTGTTTTGTTTTGTTTTATAATTTTTTTTTCTTCTCTGCCTGCAAAATTTGTAAATTATCTTTGATAAGAATTGTGACAAGGCCATGTTTTTTACAAGGTATTTTGATGTCCTAGAGGAGGTAGGATCTTGTTTTTGAGCACTTGTTGCTCTTTGAACTGCTGTTAAAAAAGGTATTAATCACTCTCCCTTGTGTTTTGTTTACTGGAGGACTTCTTATCTACCTACCAGCTTGTAAGTTACTGGAAGATTGACTACTACAGTTACTGCTGAAAATACTAAGAACACAAAGAAGATTGCTCCCTCCTTCACTTAATTACTTTTCTATTATTGAGAGTACAAGGTCTGATACAGAGTTGCTCAATAAATATTTGCTGAACTGAGTCAATTAAATCAAGGAACTTCACCTCTAATAAGTGTTACAACACTTTATAATTTGGACTTTAATTGAGGGTAACTCCATGATCATACATACCATTTGGCCTTTCTGGTCTTCATTTACAAGACACTGTAGCACACATTATTTGTTTTTATTTGTATTCTATGATGTTGAAGGTTGGAACTACAACTACTGCCTGGAATTTAATTCCAACTGGGAACTAGGCACAGTTAAGCATTCCTCTACAATTTACTTTAATGAGTGCAGTAATGTATTATTACAAAGAAAAAGTAACTAAAAGGGTGGTTGACCAAGCACTGTGAAATAGACATAAGTAACCCTCTCCAAGTTAGAAATTAAGACAGACTCCATTTCTAGGGTGTGGCTGAGTGCTGGAAGAGGTCATGGAGAGGACATGACCTCAGTTCAACCCACAAGGTGCCCCCGGGCAATGGGAAACCCCTGTCCTTAAAACGGGAGTTCTGCCCCTTATTTCCACAGCAGGAGCTGCTTTCAAGGATGTGGCCTTGAGAGAGTGATGGGCTGTTGAGAGCAAGTGAATGCTATACATAACTGAACTCAGTTAAAGTCTCAATAAACTTTTAAGAGGCTAGTGGGTGCGTGCGGAGGTCTGTTTGCCTTGTGACTGCTGAAGACAAGCTTGGTCTGTAAGTCCCCTTGCTTATCAAACCTGCCACCTGCCAATCTGGAGGGGTCTGCCTCTTTTCTTTCGTCTCTCCTTGCCTTCCGCGTTCAGGGGCCAGTCTGCAAGCCAACACTAAGTTGACTCCAAATGCGCCCCCCCACTCCTGCCTTTTTTTCCCCTTAGAAGCATGTGGGAAATGAAAAACCAGTCTGCTGCTGTTCCGTGCTTTGTGCTGTTTTATTGTGGTCAGTTACAGCAGTGGAGCAGTGAACATGTCACTTTAAGAAGAAAATCTCCTTAACCTTGAAGGGATGAATCAGGTGTGAAAAGCTCGATTTGATCCATCAAGAGGGATCCTTTTCTAGGTTTATGTTTTGAAACTGAAAAACATACACAAGTCTGACTCAGGCTCTAGTTCAAAAATATCTACAAATGCCACCCCTCTTATGAGAAACAAAAGTATAGATCTTTTTTTTTTTTTTTTCTAGAATAAAATGAATACATTTTAACAGCAAACAATGTAAGGGAATTTTCTTTAATGCTCCAATCTATACAGGCTCATGAAAGCATTGTTGTTCCTGGGGTGGGGTGGGGAGGGGTCAGTGTATGCAATTTTTCTCCAGAGTTTTTTCTTACATGTTTAAATTAGGAAGATTTTATCAGAACGCCTCTCTGTAGTAGTTTGTAAATGATGATGAACAGAGGTGGGTAATTCTAAATTACTATAAGCAGGATAAAAAGGTGTACATTTAAAAAAATGCTAAAATCGGCAATAACGCTAAACTTGCTTTGAGCCTCTGCCCTCTCAAACCCTATCGCTAAGGGAGATAAAATAATGAAAAATACTTCCTAAACTGCTGGCAAAACTCTTATTGTTTGTACCACTCTTGGAAAAGACTCTTGGGACGAGCCGCGGAATCCTTGCTATTGATTGGCTGGTTAAATAGAGGACTATTAGCTTCAGACAGGCTAGATTGATGACACAGCGGCAGCAGCAGGAGCCGGACTCAGAGCCGAGCGAGCGTCAGGGTGAAAAGGAGCGAGAGGGGGAGAGCGAGGAACACAAGGTGCGGGGGGAGGAGGCGGTGCACGTTCCAAAGCGTTACTATGTGGCTGCTGGTGCGGATCAGCTTGCTTCCCCCGCTTTCTCAGTCAACTTACTGAGATGCCTTTTCTTTTGCAAGAGGCTGTCAGCTCCGAGCCCCAGCAAGAAATAAAAGACTTCACCTTGGAACAGTTCCTCTCACTCCTGCATCATTAAAGAGGATTTTGAAAAGAAAACAAAAAAATCAAGCCCCCTTTCCAGCCCCTCTTCGTTCCAGAAAGGAACAGAAACAGTTACGTGCTTCAGGTAAGGAAATTAAAATTTTATCTCCGGATTCCTTTTTAGTCATTCACAGTAAAATATGTCCTAGCTTTGCAGGCTTTAAAAACTGAGTTTTCAGGGATGTATTAAAGTCAATGCAATGCATAGGCGTGTGGATTTAAAAACGTGTTGATACATTTTTATATGAATATATTTGCTATTTTATCTCCAGGTACATATAAGTTTTATTTATAAGATCACTAGATTATAAGTTTTTATAGCAGATATACTCTGTATGGGGGGAAAAAAAAAAAGCAAAGTCCACACTCAAAAGAGCATTTTTGGTGACAGCCTTAAAATATGTTTATGTACGTTGTTCTTAGCTGTGAAACAACTTTGGGAAATAATAGCATATCACAAAAAGACGAGTACAGTGTTAAACTGTGTAGTATTCAATTTCATGCAGACATAGAAGCTACAAGGTTTTCAGTGATTGGCAGCTGTTATTTTTTTTTTTTCTGTATCTGTCCTTTGCAGCCTTAAATCTTCAACATAAACATGATGTCTCTTAAATGATGTGACATTAGATTGCCATCTTATTACAGCTAAGTTATTGATGGCTAGCATTTGGTCTTAAGAACGTACTGAGCTAATGCAAAGAAATACGACTCTGGGTATGTTTAGCCATTCCGGAGTCCATAGCTAGAGCTGCAGTCAATCCTATCAATTAATATTTTAAGTATCAGTTCAGTGATGGTGTATGCTGGTAGAGTATTTATGAACATATAGAAACTTTGCACATATTAAGGTCTCTGCTGGGAACTGGATTTTTTTTTTTTTTTTTTTTTTTTTGAGGGAAATGATTGGATGGCATAGGAATCACAGGCTGGGGCAATGCAGTACTGATGTAGTTGACTGACCTTAGGTTTACAGGTCAACTGCTGAAGAAGCATTGTGATATCTGATGAGAATGATTAATTTCAACCTTACTGGAACTAATATAGTCTATGGCATTTTTGATGTCAATTTATTTGCTTTTGGGTCAATGAAGAGAGGGATTCTATCCTGAGCTGCTCTGATTGTGTTTTTGAGTGAAGTTCCCTGAGTCACTAATCAAAGATCAAACTGCCAGCTGTGATAGGTCGGCAAAACTTTGTAATATGTTGCTCAGTGTTTCAGATAATAACAAGATTGCCAGTACTCTTGAGAGCCAACGTAGCTGAAGTTAGGAATATTACATACGCTGAATGCCTGTATTTGCATCTATGTTTAACCCTTGCTTGTATTTTAAATATAACTACGTATTGGAAGAACACAATTTTTCATGACCTCTATTTTGTCTTTTAAATATGGAGTAATGTTTTAATGCTTCATAATAATATAAATATTATAGCTACTTATATATTTACATTTATATTACCACATCAGAAAGGAATGATTGTTATACATTTTGTAAAGGACAGCTTGTCTAAGAGCATGGAAGTGTGTATTAGAGAATATTAAATATTTTGGTCTTTCAATTGAGTCATTGGACAAAACAATTATATGCATCTTTCTTGAGTATTATGTTTCAAAAATTAATACCAAACTATCGACTGAGGAAGGTGGCAGTTACCATAGACCATACATTTATATTTATATGTACGTGTAGTTTATATATTTATATATACACACATATATATATAGCATATACAAATGTTATATCAAATCCCTACATAGACTTTGTCATAAACCTATTATAGTCTTGATTAATTATTGATTTGCATATATTATAATATTAACTTTTTATCCAATTTATCCAAAATTGTGTTTCTAATACTTCCATTTTATTGTTTATGTAAACAATCTGACATATCTCCTCAAAGGATATAATTAAGGTTTAACTAACTCATCTGGTCATTTTGAAATTTAAAGCACAGTAATTTTAATTCCATAATTTTTGTTGCAATAATCTTAAGTGTCTAACCTAGTTATACAGTCCAGTTTCCTTATAGCACTTATCTGTGGGTTATAATGAAGTATATACTCCATAAAGAAAACTGATTTTTAATTGCATTATGTGTTTTTTTATAAGACCATTAATATTGTAGCATAGGTGGATGTAAACATCCATACTTATTTTTCTTCTACTAATAGGCACATTTTTCCTTTAAAAAGACTTCTAAAATCATTCTGAATTGCGTGCCTCTTGCACTTAAGCACTCTTCTTAGCTTGTCTTAAATGTTACTTTGATTCTTTTTTCTCTTTTTTTTGGTTATCTTACCAATTCTGAAATTACTCCTGTGAGAGATTTAATTCCCCAGTTTTCTTTTTTTTTTTTTTTTTTTTTTTAAAACATTTTATTTATTTATTTGATTGAGAGAGAGATCACAAGTAGACAGAGAGGCAGGCAGAGAGAGAGGGAAGAAGCAGGCTCCCTGCCAAGCAGAAAGCCCGATGTGGGGCTTGATCCCAGGACCCTGAGATCATGACCTGAGCCGAAGGCAGAGGCTTTAACCCACTGAGCCACCCAGGTGCCCCAATTCCCCAGTCTTCTTAAGAGGACATTATCCCATGATTGGAAACAAAAACAAGTTCTTTTTTTAAATAACATTTTACACTTGCAACTATGTAACTAAAATGTCTCCTACATTCCAGATCAGTGCTCCTCAGCAAACATGATCAAGGCAGACAGGTGTTCTAGTTGTCATGTATAGAGGTGTCAGGCTGAGTCTGAAATCTAGCAGCTTCCTTAATCAATTCAGTTTTCAGTTTTCTTTGCATTTTGGGGAAGGCTCCGTCTGACCCTTTATGCAACCTTCCATTTACTTTGTCAGATATCTTTGTTGATTACTCATTTTAGCCATAGTGAAGCAAAAAGAATGAAGAAAGTACAACCTTTTCTGTTCTTATAGGTATCTGCACCATTAGGGGGCTCTTTCTTCCTGTGTTATATTCAGCAAACCACTGAGAGAGATTACATTGCTTTCTTAAAGTATATTTGCTGTGTTTAGAACATGAGTGCTGCTTGAAGTAGCTTTCTCCTACTTTCCACAGACAGAAACATTCAGATGGATAAGAATTTCTTATGTCCATGGGAAAGTTAATTTATCCTATGTTTTCTGAATTCATTCTCTTTCAAATATTCTTGTGTATAGAATGTTTTATCTTTGAAAATAACAAGGGTTTGAAATAGTGACGGGACCAGTGTTAGACACATTTAAAGATTATATGTTATGCAGCTAGTATCCTGAGAAATGTTGAAGTACGGAAAAACTGCAGGGAAGAAAGTTCCTTTACACTCATCTGCAAATGTCTGAGAGAGAATGAGTGACTCTGGGCTCATCAGCACTTTGCTTTCAGCAGAAGAGAGCAGCAGGCAACAAAAAGAATATTACTTGTTTTCTACAAAAATAGACATGGAAAAATGGAAAATAATAGCATGGCTTCACTAGCCATACACATGTAGGACATGTATTTTTAAATTCCATTTTTTTTTCCTTATTACATTAAATGAAGTTTTCATAAATATACCCAGAGTGCTGCAAGCAGCTGACTCTGGGGAAAGGGTGTTTCCCGCATCCCTTGGAAAGCCATGCGTATTGAACTGCACTGCAGACTTTGGTCCTAAAGGGGAAACACATTCCTCCCATACCCACAGCAGCTAATGATGCCCCCGGATGGCAGGACTTGTTTGGGGATAAGTCAACACTTAAATCTCCGTGCAAAAACAATTAAGTGGGTCTGGGATTTTTATCATAGATGCCATCCCCATGGAATGAGTGAGAAGTGTCCCACACTTGTGAGAGATATTTCTTTTGGGGAGTGAGAGAAGGGGAAGTATTCTGTGCAGTGAATCCTGAGATTCTGGTCATTTCTTGAATGTTTCATTGATTTAGCAGGGTAGAAGAATAGTTGCTTAAATAAAATGAGACGATGGCAGTGGCACAGATATTTCTTTTACTGGCATTTTGGAAGTAAGCATGTAAGCATTTTATTCTTTGTTTGAAAAGGTGCATACCTTGAAAAGAGTAAATTTTGAATGTGACTAGTACCATGTACACAGTTGTGTGGGGATCATTCCAAGTCCTTCTGAACAGGCTGGTGTCTACTCTAACTGCGGTTCTTTCTTACAGGGTTAGCTTTCGGGAATATGAATTACTGGGTAGTAAGGCTTGAGTGGGAAATCTAAGGCTACTGATTTTATGTAATAAGTATTAAAGGTATTTTAAGGACTTTAAGTTTCTTCTGAAAAGAGGTCATCTTTTATCTTAAAGTAGGCCAGCACCAAAGATGGAGGAAAGGTCTAAAACTGAAAATAAATAAAAGAAAATGGATTGGCTGTACATTATTTATGTTGCAAAATTTCATTCATGAGATAAATATAACAATGCAAGTTAAATAAATATTTGTGTTTTCTACTTAATGGTAAAGAAATGGAAATGCCACTGAAGTTTAGTGGTTCGATATCTCGCACGGGATGAGAGAACACTATCGAAATGTGAAAAGTAGGCAAATCAGTATGAATAACGACTGATACAATGGCCTAATAATCAGATTTCCAAAGGAAACAAGATAGCTCTATCCTATTGAGTTTAAAGTAATAGATTGAGATAGATGAAGTTGATAATTAGAAAATATAGTCTGGGGCGCCTGGGTGGCTCAGTGGGTTAAAGCCTCTGCCTTCGGCTCAGGTCATGATCCCTGGGATCGAGCCCCACATCGGGCTCTCTGCTCAGCGGGGAGCCTGCTTCCTCCTCTCTCTCTGCCTGCCTCTCTGCCTACTTGTGATCTCTGTCGGTCAAATAAATAAATAAAATCTTTAGAAAAAAAAAAGAAAGAAAACATAGTCTGTTTATACTTATCAGTGTTGCTATTACCACTCTCCAAACTTCACTCTCCAAACCTCACTCTCCAAAATCACTGGGCTTATTCATCTTTGTGAAATTATGTGTGTGCATGGTTGGGTGAAAATGCCTGTGTGTGTATATATGGATATCATTGTTTTTATAGAGTTTGAATTACATGAAAATATAATCATGTTGACTGTGTGACATGTGTTCTC